GCCTTAATGCCTTTCAAATCCTCCTAGTCATCAGTAATTCTGCTAAGAAGAACGCCCATGTTGTGGCAATTCCACCCAGAAGGTAATGGGTTACTCCTACAGCATGTCCTTGTGCAGTACTCAAGGCTCTTGGCTGAGTAGCAGGAGCAACTTTTTTCATGGAGTTGTTATGCTTGTTTGGTTAAGTTATGGATTGCCATTAAGTAATTTGACTCATGTGGGTTGTTTGGTGTTTTAATCTTCTTATTTTCAATCAGAATAAAAACCAGAACTTTTTCCTCTCTCTCTCTCTCTCTGTGTGTGTGTGTGTGTGTGTGTGTGTGTGTGTGTCATTCGGTTTACATTTTCCATCTTTCTAACAGGGGTTTCGATTTTGATTTGTTGAATTGATGGTTTTCCGGAAATTCCAATATGCAGAAAAAAAATGGCTACAATCAAGGGAGGCGAAGGACTAATAGCAGAACAAGTATGGCTCAAAGAGAAGATGTGATTAGGAGGACAGTGTATGTTTCTGACATTGATCATCAGGTAAAAGTAGCTTGCAGATTGTTATTATTTGTTTGGAAGACAGCAAACCATGTAAAGATTTGACATTTCTTGAGATGAAATGTAGGTTACCGAAGAGCAACTTGCTGCCCTCTTCATTGGCTGTGGTCAGGTATATTTTGTGTCAAAGGGTGGCAAAATCTGTATTTCAACTAAACAATATTCCTGATTTTTTATATATGACATTTTCAACTTTTGCTTTCTTTCTCTTCTTTTTTCCATGCTGCTCATGACGAAGGTTGTGGATTGCCGTGTTTGTGGTGACCCTAATTCTGTGCTTCGTTTTGCATTCATTGAGTTCACTGATGAGGGTATGTAGATGGCCCTGAATCTTGTTGTTCCCATTTTTGAGAAACGTCATTAAGGTTGTATCTCTGATATGATTTGCAGTGGGTGCAAGAAATGCCTTGAGCTTAGCAGGAACCATGCTTGGGTATTATCCAGTCAGAGTGTTACCTTCCAAAACCGCAATAGCTCCTGTTAATCCGACATTCTTGCCAAGAGTGAGAAGCCTTTTTTTTTTTAAAAAAAAAAAGAATTATGCTTTTAGTTAGTTGACAGGTTAATTACTGCAAAAAATTTAGCTAATTAAATAAGTATACTAATTAATTTTTACAAAGATTACAAATATCCCTCGACATTTGTTGCCTTTTACAAATTTTAACCTTGAGAAAGGGTTGTGGTGGGTGTGGGTATTTGGTTTTGAATATTGGAACCTTTTTGTGATTAGGCTGAAGGTAAGGGGTTGTTTTGTAACGAACTCTTGTTGCGATATAAGTTCTAGCACTATGGCTTCAAGAAAGCACTAACTAATTTTCGTTCTGTTATTTAGTCTGAGGATGAAAGAGAGATGTGCGCAAGAACTATTTATTGTACAAACATTGATAAAAAGGTAAGCTTCCGGAACACGATCATTTTCATTAGAAAATGAAAGCACAATTTATACCTTTGTTTGATTATCAGGTCACTCAAGCAGATGTCAAACTCTTCTTCGAATCCATTTGTGGCGAGGTACGCAGCCTGCTGACCATAACAATGAAAAGAGACTATTTTTCTGGGACTTTTTTTTTTCGATAGTGATATGTGTCTGCAAATCAGGTCTACCGCTTGAGATTGCTTGGTGACTATCATCATTCAACTCGTATAGCTTTTGTTGAGTTTGTAATGGTGAGACCTACAGTTTCTCATTTATTTCTGTTTGACGTGTATCAAGTCATATGATGTCGGCTAATGATAAGTTCTCATCACTTCTTTTTGCTTTTGCTTTGAGATCTCACACCTTACATCCTATCAACTCTAAAATTAATTTATTCATTGCTGATTTTTGTGGTACATACCTTTGGTTGGTTAGAATTTTAAAGGTTAACTTTTTTCACTAAGTGAAGTGTACACTACAGTCATATAGCCTTGTATGAATGCTGGGTGAAAGTATAACCATTTCTATACTTATGCTAGTCTCTCTGTCTCTCTCTCTCTCTCTCTGTCTCTGTCTCTGTCTCTCTCTCTTTCTCTTTCTCTCTGTCTCTCTCTCTCTCTCTCATTTTAAATATATATATTAGTAATGCTAATGTATCCCAGTTTGTATTTGATTTCTGTGTGAGTTACTTCCTTCATTCAAATAACTCAATCTAGAGTTGGGAGTGTGTCTGTTATACATGCTGCAAGTAGCATTTACTGTTAATTTTGATTGGTCCTTTTTCATAGAGAGGGTCACGTAGGACCAAAAGGTGTACAATTTCGTCTATTTTTTCTATTGGTTATATTGCGCTGCTTAAACTATATGGTGGACCATTTTTGCATCTTGCATTATGCACCAAAATCCAGAAGTGATGTATATACATTAATATGTAATGTACCTATATTTGAATTTATATTTATTAAGTATGTGCCTAGTAGTTTATATTAATGTACTAAAATTATCTTCTATTTAACGTTCTTATAAATTTTAAGTATATGCACCCATGTACTAATATATATTTGTTTGAGACGTAATGCATCTAAATTGACGTATATTATTATTTAAATTGAGGTATCAATCGTCAAGGTCCACCATGCCATGTAACCCTGGTCCATTATACTACGATTGTTACACTAACTTTTACATTTTTTTTTTCCAATAGTACTCTACTTTTGGTTATGTACAAATTTAGTGACCTGCGCGACTGTCCTCAGCAAAGATTGCGTCTTAATTTCATTAACTATTTCCAGAGATGACAACTATTTGGAGTTTGCACCTTACATAGGTTACTGCTCTTAATTGAATATGCATTGAAGTGAAAGAATGACTATAAATTAGCCGCCTTATGCTTGTTTTCACATATTCTTTACCGTGTCTTTTTTTGAGTAACCTTTTGCGGCTGGTAATTATTTTGTAACTCCTACTCTGTCGAATAAATATCTGGGTTTTCTTATGTTAATAATAAATATAGAGATACGACTTCCTGACATTATGTATTATGCCGAAAAATGGTAAAAGGTCTGTAGACGAGTGAAAGGAAACCTGCATATGGAGGCTTCCCATTTGCTGGATAAAGCAGTAAAATATGTTTGTTTGTTTGGTTCTTTGTTTGTGTGTGTCTCTTGGTTTGGCTTCTTTTAGGACACAATATTGCAAGGAAAAAGTTCAATTAAAATAATGTCATTACGGTTTGGCGTAGGCTGAAAGTGCAATTGCGGCTCTCAACTGCAGTGGTGCAGTCTTAGGATCACTTCCCATAAGGTTCGATTTTCCCTTATTATTCCCACAATACTTTGTGCAAGCTTATATTGTTATAGAAAACTACAAATATATATATATATATATATATATTATTATTATTATTATTATTATTATTATTATTATTATTATTATTATTATTATTGTTGTTGTTGTTGTTTTCCTCATACTTCCAGGGTAAGCCCATCAAAGACTCCCGTGCGACCCCGTGGCCCCCGTCAATCCATGCACTAGTATTCTTCCAGTGCTTTCTCTGATGACTCCAGAAAACTCTTCTATTTCTTCCTCTCTCTCTCTCTCTCTCTCTTTCTCTCTCTCTCTCTCTCTATATATATATATATATATATGCATATCAAACAAACTAATACTTTTTAGGTACTTTGTGGCATCACCATCATCATAATCATACATGTGTTTTTATCTATTAACCAGCTGTGTCTAGGCTGGTTTCCTTTCTCACCTGCATTAGGTGTTTATCGCTCGACTGTAGAGCTTTGTAGAGTATGACCATCCTCGGAGCTTTCTTAAGGATATAATTATACACAGTTTTTATGTTGTGTCTACTGGGCAGTTAGTGCCTCAAGGTACTATTTTTAACTGTCCCATGCGTTGGAGTTTGAACCAGGCTTGTATTTTCCCCCATTTTAAGTAATTTCTATGATCATTTCTTCTCTTTCCCAATGTTTGAACTTTGGTTTTGACCGTCTATATTTAATGAGGATAATTGCAAAAATTTAGCTTTGGTGGTGACCCTTAAAAGCGTAGTACAGAACTCTGGCCATGATATGAATTGGAGATAGATAAAATGTAGACTTTGACAAAGCCTGTTTGAAATGTAGGTTCTGTTAATTTTCTAAAAGGTTGACCCACTAGTTTACAAAGGGAGCAAAATGGAAAGGAAAAAAAAAATATATAAAATAGTTGATATTGTTTAGTTGGTCACCGGATGTTTCTGTTATTTCATCATTTTTCGACCTTATCTCACCTTATTGCCCTCGATATACCGAAACATGTAGGAACATTGAACTAGTA